GCCAGGGGAGGTTTAGATTGGATGTGAGGAAAAATTTCTTTCCTGAAAGAGTAGTTAAACATTGGAACAGACTGCCCAGGGAAGTGGTTGAGTCACCATCCCTGGAAGTATTTAAAAGACGGGTAGATGAGGCGCTTAGGGACATGGTTTAGTGGGCATGGTGGTGTTGGGTTGACGGTTGGACTCGATGATCTTGGAGGTCTCTTCCAACCTTAATGATTCTATGATTCTATGATTCTATTCTATGATTCTAGGTAAGAAGGGCAAGTACTGATCCCAAATGGGAGAACCTCTTCATATTCTATAAATTATGTACTAGCAACACAGAGGACATTACACTAAAAAAAAAAAAAAAAAGATGTGGTGATTTCTGAATCTTAAAAGTCTGATATGATGGGAGAGACCAAACAAGCACCTGTTTATACTCGTACATAGTTAAGGAAGAGAAGCCTTTAGAAATGCTGAGAAAAGCTTAAGGTCACCACAAGAAAATACTTGCTTGTCTTCTTTCTAGCACAGAGAAAAAGCCAACCAGTATTAAGACCCATGCCACAAACACAGACTTTCAAATAATTTTCCTTAGTCGTCCTTCTCAGTAGTAAACTTCACCCGGAGGCATCTCAGATGATTTATGACTCCTGAGTCCATTCACCTTGTATCAAAGCCTGTAGGGCAGCTTGCAATTCCCTCTTCAGAGGACTGCACTGTCACTCCCAAGGAGCCCCATGTAGCCTTTGCAAAGCCTGCTTTTGGAGTGACCACCACTCATGACATGTTGTCACCAGGCAAAGCTCCTAACACATGGCTAACAATCCCCAACTGCAGCATTCAGTCTTCCCAATGAGATGTAGGAAACAAAACAAAATCAGAGGGACAAGAACACTCCCCCTTGCTGTTCAAAGCATGCAAGAGAACAAGCAGTCTTTCCAAAAGCCTGGCTGAAAATTTTAGCAATTATGATCTGGTCGAGAGAAAATCTCTAAAAGGTCTCAAATGTTAGGAGAAGCTTCCAGAGACATGACAAAGCACGTATCAGCACATTACACAGCACTTTCTGCTAGCTATCCATAACTACTGAGGTAGTTGAAGCTTGTATTTTAACAATTGCTTCCTCCTTTTTGGTCCACTGCCTTGTCTTTGCTCCTGGCATTAATTCACTCATGTATTTCTCTTGAATCTCCATGTTCCATCAGGTACAGGATCAGTCAGCACCAAGTCAGAAGAAATGGATGCAAGACAGCTGAGATCACTTGTCCAAAGAGCCATTTTCCAGGAGTTGCTTCACTTTTTCACTTTACAGGAACACGGAAGGTACCCTAACAGATCAACCCAGCAGCAGCAGTGGCAGATGGAACACGAGCATGGCTGCTTTCTGTAGTGCATTGCTGTCCTGCTCCCCAATGGTAGAGACAGCATAGTCACCAGCTATTGCTGATACTGGAGGGGATGTTTTATTTGTTCTTTATTTGCCACCACTTGTTTCCAGTGCAGAATCCCCACACTGCTAGGGAAGCTCCGTAGCAAGTTAGCCTTGCCTGTGTGCATCTGTAGAGATCAGCAGATGAGGATGTGCTTTCCAAAGTGGTATCATAGTCTCCCCACAAGGCTTCAGAGCAAATGGGAGGGGGACAATCACATCCGAAACTTTGATATGGCTGCCTTCCGCTTCAGAGAAAGTTTTGGAACACAAAATAGTGGAAGGTGATGACCTCTGACTGTTCAGGGACCAAGGCTGATTATCTGTGTCATCTCAGTGCTTCATTCCTGTCCTCACTGCTGAGTCTGACAGTCAGGGCTACTGCTAGCTTTGCCTCTCTCCACATCCTTGTATCAGCTATGCCATTTCTCCATGCTCAGATGTGTGCTGTAGCTTAGCCTCTAGCCCCGGGCAGGGTCTCACAGCCCCTCCAGGCCCATGCAGACCAGGTGGTGCTCTTTCATTCGCAACCGCCCTGTTTCCCCGTGTCCCACTGGCTCTTCACGTGGACGCAGTTTAACGATGCCAGGATCATCCCCCCCGCTGCCCCTTGCGAGCGGCAGCTCAGCAAGCCGGGTGTCCATTCCAGGCGCTGGGGTGCCAACATTTCCAGTCACCCGCAGGCTTCCATGACACCAGAGAGAATCTCTCCCAGGTGCCTGCACTGGGACACGCACCAGCTCGGCACCTCACACTTCACCACAGGGCCCTGCACGCTCTGACGTGCCCCTGCCTCGCCCAGCGCTCCCCGCCCGTCGTGCCCCGGCAGCCCCAGGAGGGCCGATGCCCCGCCGCGCCCCTTCCCTCCCGGAGCCGGCGGGGTCATCTGCTCGCA